GTTCAGCAGTGTGACATTCAGTTTTTCTGGCTGTGAATAGTCTTGCTGGAGAGCAGCCAGCGTGAGGGGAGTGTGACTTTGTCAAAGGGCCTGTTTCTATCTGAACCTTTCTTTACTGAAACACTGCTCAGATTAAAATGAGGAAGAACAGAGTAGTGTAGGACACCATCATCACCTGAGTTTGATTTGCTATTCCTCCTGAATCTTAGCCCCTGTGATTACCTCCAGAAGACACACCATGTCCCTGCTGTAGTAACTCTTGTTGTGTAGTGTGTAGCTGTCTGTCTCTGCTTGTCATTGGTGCTGACATTCCTGCAGGTTTTTCTTTTTACTTAAACCACCTGCTTAGTGTCAAAGGATTCCCACTGGCTATGAAATTCACTGAAGTGTTCATTTTGATAATCAAAGAAAGGCTATGAAAGTACATGTTTTTCCTTTTCTTTCATCAAGGTAGCAGCTTTGGGACCAATTTAAATTTTAAGTAATTATCCAAATGTTTCCGTTTTTAGTCCTGTTGTATGAATTACATTTTCGGTTTGCTTTTGAATTCATAATCAGTTTTTTTTTTTACTTCTGCCACTGCATCAGGGTTTTCTGTGAAGTGTTTCTTCTGAAAACTGGATTTAGAGAAGTGAGATCTATATAAAGTTGCATTTTTAATTTCAGCTGCTCAAGAGAGTCTATGGGAATTTCCTGGTCTCAACAGAGTCTGGTAAGTTCTCAAAACGTTACTGGCCTCCTTTCATACATTACTGACAGCCTCTGAATTTAATTAGACATCTACTATCAGATCATTGTTAAGATTTTGACACCAGGAGGACACAAGTGTGTTTGCCAAATAGCAGCCTAACTTTAAAATGACTATGAGCAATTACTCACTGTAGATTTAGTTAAATCTGTAATCTTAATCACTCCATTTCTGATCCATTTCCTCCCAGGCTACAACGTGTCCCTCCTGTACGACCTGGATGCATTACCAGCCAACAAAGATGATGTTATCCACCAGGCGGGGATGCTCAAGAGAAACTGCTTTGCCTCAGTGTTTGAAAAGTACTTCAAGTTCCAGGAGGAGGGCAAAGAGGGCGAGAGGAGGGCTGTGGTCCACTACAGAGACGATGAGTCCATGTACGTAGGGAATAAGCTCATTTTTCATATGGTTTATTTCCTTAATGTGGCCTGTCAAGTTGGAGCTTGAGTGTCTTAAGGCTATGAGAAGCCATTAGAAATACAGAACAAATGAAAATTAAGTTTTTTGAAATGATACAAACTTGAGCTGAGACCTGTGACTGTTTCCGAATCATAAAATTAGTTCTAGCAGGTCTACAGTATGGTAAATACTCTATGGCACTGACAGGATTTTGTTCTCAAAATCAGAACTTATTTTGGGTCTTCATTCCATTTTTGTGGTAATCCTCATGTCAAACTGTCACGCTTCCTCTTCTCCTCAGGTATGTGGAGGCCAAGAAAGACAGAGTGACAGTGGTGTTCAGCACAGTGTTCAAAGACGACGACGACGTCATCATCGGCAAAGTCTTCATGCAGGTGAGTGAGGCCATGTATATGCTAAACGGTCACTGTTTGTTGAGGTTGTAATAAACTGGGGACCACTTCTGTATCAATGTATATCACTTGTAATGCTATACTGTTTTTGCAGTCAGTGGACAAAAAGATAAATACTTCAAAATGTCACTTCCAATTAACCTGAACAAACAAAATGTTTTTGCAAAAATAGAATAGCCTTCACACTTTTTAGTGTGCTTAACTGTCACGTCACCACTGTGAACTCACCACATTTATACCATATTTTTCTTACTGTAAATCGGAGCAGCTACTGTTCACTTCAGCCTTCTGTCCACTGTTTCCAAATTTCAAACCTGTGATGGCAGGAATATCTCCCTCTTGGTAAAAAGAGCTACAGAAATTAGCATAGTTCCTTCTTCGCTATTAAACTAAATATAGTTTTTTATGAAGCTGAAGTCTTCATTTCAGCGGCTACTGTTCACTTACATTTTGTGTGTAGGAGTTCAAAGAGGGTCGGCGAGCCAGCCACACGGCCCCCCCGGTGCTGTTCAGCCCAAGGGAGCCTCCTTCCTCTGGAACTGAAGGACACAGACGCTGCCGTTGGGGACAACATTGGTTACATCACCTTTGGTCAGCAGCACCCTCTGTGTTAAAACATGGCCAAATCTTCTTAGTTGTTATGCAGCTGTACTAATGACGTAACTATTTACCTTGTTTTATACTGATGTGTATGATTTGTTTTGACGTTTTCCAGTCCTGTTCCCTCGTCACACCAATGCCAATGCCAGAGACAACACCATCAACCTCATCCACACCTTCAGGGACTATCTGCACTACCACATAAAGTGCTCCAAGGTGTGTTCAGGATTATTTATAGCTTCATTTATTATGTTTGGACACATCATTTGTTGATTTGAGTCATATTTTTGGGCTTGAGGCTGAGCTCTTTAAAGCTGTTAGTTCTAGTTCTGCTATAACTAAAGATCCACCACAGTGGAATGAGTATTAAGGAGACCACTGATGAATACGACTACTACTCATGATGAAAGTCTGCCTTAATTACAGGCTACAAACAAGGCATGAAGTCCTCCTCAGTAGCTGTCTGTTTCACCCTTAGTTTCAGTGTTTTTATAGTGCCTTGTCCACCAGAAAGTCCAGCTTCTCTAATCTCAGTAATCGTACAGGTCTTTATGAAGTGCGTGGCCATTTGTGTACCCATGACAAATGGATTCTTCTTGACTGTAAACCCTAATCAGATCTGACTGTTGGCTGACTTACAGAGATGTGTTTACCTTTGTGTTGTTTCATAAGAGTGCACATAATGGAATCAGTTGTTGTACGTTTTTGCCTCAGACAGCAGGGAGTCAGTGTGGGTGTCAGTAGATGGATTTATAGACGGGCGTGGGTGGATTACTCTTGAGAGCTGTGGGAATATAATGTGATCACTATTGTCCCCATCTCTAAGCAAGCTCTGCTGGAAACAAGGCATCTTATTATCTTGTCTCTTTTAAGATTCATTCTGAGATTGTATGATGACTTATAATTTATGTTTTGTACAATGAATACGTCATCGCCTACAGTGACTGGCTTTCTTCTGCAGGCTTACATTCACACACGTATGAGGGCCAAGACGTCAGACTTCCTCAAGGTGCTGACCCGCGCTCGACCCGACGCTGAGAAGAAGGAGATGAAGACCATGTCGTACGTAGCCTCGGCTCTTGTCCACACTGACTTCATGTGTCTGTTCTGTCACTTGGATTCAAAGTCACCATTTGTGCACATCAACACTGTCTCATGCTTTCATGGAACGAGAGCCAGAAGTTGTAGTTCTCTGCTATTCTTAAGAAACATTGAGTAGAGTCGTTTTTTTGTTTCTTAAGCTTAATTAAACAGATTTGTACTATAGTTATAGGTCCTTAATGCCTGTTTGCATTAGCATTGCTGCGGGTCTTCCTTTCTTCCATTATTTTTGCAGGTGAAAGGAAAATACAATCTTGCAATCTCTGCAACTCTGAGTCTGTGTGTGTTTTGAGGTGTGTGACCTCCACTGTTTTTGCAGTGTTTGAAATGAGTCAGGGAAGAATTTTTACAGCTCTCAGCTAAAGCCTCCTAACAGCCACAATACAGTTTTTGGCTTAAATAATCGTTACATTTTTATTGTCTTGGCACAGACGGTCTTTGTTCTGTGGTTAATGTGTAACTGCAATAAGAGGGCAACTCCCATAGCGACCATCTTTTGAGTTTGGTTCCAAGCTGCAGAAGGAAAAACACTGTCAACTCAGAAATGTTCAGTGTGTTGGTAACCAGAATACAAGTACACCCACATACTGTACGTAAATATGACAACCATGCTGTAGTATGTTGGAACATCCAGTGCTGTTACCCGTTTCAAACTAAGGACATGTTGTTAGTTTTACTTAAAAGCAATAATTTGACATTTTTGGATCTACGTCCTCTTGCTTTCTTGCGCTAGTGTGGTAAATATGAAGCTGGAGCTAGCAGCCAGTTAGCTTAGCATGGACCCTGGAAATCCTCCTACCAGCACATCTAAAGCTCATTAGTTAACATTTTATATCTCGTTTGTTTAATTTGAACAAAAATCGAAATGTTAAAGCAGGATGGTTTAACATGGATCCAAATGAGAACACCTCTACATCGAATTGAACATACAGTATATAATGTTACTCAGTGAGCCTTGGAGGTGCTGGTAGGAAGATGTTACCCTCAGACACAACTAACAAAGTCTGATGTTGTTTGAGGTGTGTCAGGACCAGGAATGACAAAAGCCTGTTTTGTGTGACATCCTCTTGTTTTATTTTATTTTTCAGTGGAAAGACTTTCTCCCGCTGAGGCCACCTCCTTCCAGAGAAATCCAGACCCCGTGGACATGTCACACTGAGACTCAATGCCACAACGGACAGGACTCCAGGGCACCTGTAAATGCCCCTGCCCAGCCCCTCAAAAACATGCCCAGCCTTTTTCTGTTTTTGTTTAATTAATGATATTGTTTGCTCCACTTAGGGGAATTACACTCTCAAGAATAACGGAAGAAGGGCATTTGTTGCTTTGCATTGTTAAAGAGAATTATTAGTCCTATATAAATATATATATGAAAAAAAAATGACATTTTTGATACAATATCTTTTACTCCATTTGGTACTCCCGCTTGTCCCTGATCATTCTCACCATGCAGTGTCCATGTGTTGGATGATTTCAATCCCCCCTCTTCTCTGCGCTTTCATGTCGTCTGTACCGTTGTTATTTGAAAAAATAAATCACTCTTACAAAAAAGGAATTTCCAGTAGTGATGTGTGGGAGTCTGGGACATTTCTAGAAGCACTTGTGCATTTTTTCTCTTTGATTTTTATCAGTCTACATAATAGTTTTTATTGATCAGCTTTTGGTAAAATCTCAACTTTAATTGAAGTTTTAACTGTTTATAAAAGTAGATGTAGTTCACACTCACTTTTTCCACAGTCTTAAGTTGGTGAGTGATGTCCTGTGCAATTCATCAATTGATCAATTATTTGAAGAAAAGAAAAGGTCATTTGTCAAGCAAAACTGCTAAACATTTGATCTTTTCACTCACTCTCCCCCTGGCAACAGGTGAAGTAAACCTGGCTGGGAGTCGCAGCACTTCATTATTATAAAGCATAACTTACAAAGGTAGATGAGGGTCAAACACATTTGCCACATAACGTATAAAAGAAAGAGAGAAACACTTTTTGTAATTTTCTTTCAAAAGTTGTTTATTTCAATACATCTGAGAAAACGGCACCTTAACTCCACAGCGGAGTTACAGGTGTGATGGCAACAGAAAGTTATGATATGTTGTATGTTTGATATATCAACTCAGTGACAGAAAAGAACAGCAGAAAAGGGCTTTGAGTTCAAGCTTCAGCCACTTCACCCTCAATCTGTTCATCTTCATTCTCAGACCTGGAGGATGAGGATGTCTGCTTCTCAGTGCTGGACTTAGTTTTCGCTTCTTGCTGCTGTTCGAGCACCGGCTTTTGCTAGACTGGAAACGAGTTTAAATCAGATTTTTCATGTAAATAGATTTAGAGTATGTTCAGTAAGCAAGTTTTGTTTCCCTGCTCTTGGATCCAGAACTTACCCCTGAGCTCTGCATCCTCTAAAGAAAACTCCAGGCTGCCAGGAAAAAAAGAGGATGAGTATGCTTTTGTGCATGTTGGAGTGTGTTTACACTGTTTCTTAAAACCATTTAAAGGGCTAGTTGGACATTTTGGGAAATAGTCATTTGCTTTCTTGCCAGAAGTTGATGAGAATGTGCTGTTAGTTTAGACTGGAGACAGGAACTCAGGCTCCATGTCAAGGTAACACAATGTTAACTCCTTTAAGATGTACAAATGAACACATCACACAAGTCCCAGTAGACCCATCGGTATAACCCAGTGAGTTTCATCCTCACCTGTCAGCACCAGTTGTTATGCCGTGAATCAGGTGCTGGTAGTTACTGACTTCCTCCTCCAGCTTCATCTTGACACACAGCAGGTCTCTGTTGGTTTCCACCTGGTGCTCTACCTGTGACCTCACCTTCCTCAGCTCTGCCTCCAGCTCCAGCACCACCTGGTTGAGGGGCGCCAGTTGTTGGCCATACTCCACTCTGGTGCCCCTCAGGGCTTCCTCCGATCCTATCCTGAAATCTCTTCCTACTTTTGTCTTTCAATAAGGAAACAAGACTGTGAAAGACATAATAGATCACTATGGTGTCGTTTGTTTTGTTGGCTTGTTGGACACTGGTCGGCACTTTTCTGGTTTAAAGAAGTAGCATTACAGTATAATCACAGGGCAGTTAGGAATGCTAGTACTGCTTGCAGCTTTATCGTTCCTGATGTGATAAAGAACAGATTTTGGTAAATATTTTGTTCTATCCACCTCCTGAAGAATTGCTTCACTGATTTTAGGACCTTGTATATCTGATGTGTCAAAACAAGGCTTCTTTAGAATGGGCTCATTCGTCAGATCTAAAGCTCAGCTGCTGCTCTTTCTGTGTCTGTGACTTCACTCTGTAGTATTTCATGGCAGACTGACAAGTGATGTATGTGAAATGGCTTTTGTGTATGTACCATGCTGTGCACACTGTGGATCTTAACATCCAGAGTTTGTCTCTGTTTAAACAAATCCTTGAGCTCTGTCGTTCCAGTCTGCAAGACTTCAGCGTTCCGGGCCTCTGCCACCTTAATGTTGTCAAACTAGGAAGAGAAAAACAAGATAAAAATGGGGAGATGATGAGGAGGAGCGAGTAAGAGACAGAACAACGTGTGGACGACATCCAGAGGAGCTGTACCTTGCTCTGGTATTTCTCCTCTGTCTCCTTCAGGTTTGTCTTGCCTAGGTTACTGTACTGGCTGCGGATCTTGTTCAGTATCTCTGTCAGGTTGGAGTCCTGGGAATCAATCTCCACCTTCACCTCGGAGTCCTGGATCTTTTCATACAGGACGTCCACCTCCTAAAGACCCACAGTTACAAGTTTGCCTCTGATTTCACAATACAATTTTGTTAGCTCATCTTAAAGTACATATGCAGCCTCACATCCTTGTGTTCCTGCTGGAGGCGATCAAGCTCCTCCTTCACCAAACCAATCTGTTTCTTTGTCTGCTCTTGGTTCAGCTTGGTGTCCCCAATGCTCTTCTTCAGAGCCTCCAGATCTTTTTCTAATTCTTTGCCTGCCTTTTTCTCATCACCCAGCCTGCAGACAAAAAGAGGAACCCAACAACCAGCTACACATGCTTCTCTGACTGTTAGTGTTTCATTTTGATCTAAACTGTGAGCTGAATTATTGGCAGCAGCAGCGGTGGTACCATGAAAGTTTTACCCCTAATGCCAAACTAGTATTGCTTTCTTTCCTGAGATCCATCTCTTTCCAGTCTAGATATTAAACTCACTTTTTCTTCAAGTCATCATTGGCCAGTGTGGTGTTGTCAATCTGCAGCAGCAGCTTGGCATTGTCCATAGTGATGCCTTTGACCTGAGGAGATAAAGGCGTGGTGGATATTACCAGTAGCATTGTAGTTAAATCATTATTTGGGATTAAAATCACTGGGGTTAGCTTTACATTAGTATCATTAATGTGGGGGTAAACATCTGAATTCGTGTAGTGTGAAACAACAAAGACCAAACGTTTTTTTAATGTAATTTTCCCTCCATGAAAGAAAAACAGAACTCTGATGACCAACCTGCTTCTTGAGGTCATCCAGGGGCTTCTCCATCGCATCCCAGTCTCTTCCCTCAGGCGTTTTCCTCTTGGTCAAAATCTCATCAATCTGTTTCTCCAGGTTGTCGTTCTCCTCCTGCAGCTGCTTCACCTTGCCCAGGTAACCGGACAGCCGATCATTCAGAAGTCGCAGTGTCTGCCTGTCGTCCTCGGGAGCGGTAGGTGTTGCCAGAGCGGTGTGCGCGGTGTGCGCGGTGGAAGCGGAGCCTCTGTCTGGCTCATTGCGCAGCGCATTACGCAGCCCCCCTAGGCTCCCCACGGACGCCCTGGACCCCCTTCCCCCGGCTCCACCGAACATGCTGGCAGCGATGTGTGAAGGCATGATGGCAGCTGAATCAGAAAGGCCTGACAGTGACAGAGTGCTTCAGGTTCAGCCACCTTCCTTGTGGGTGTAAGGGATACAGGGGGGTTTTATACCTGCTTTTTGCGTACAAAGCCACCCCCATCCATACCATTGGCCAACACCACTCCTGGACGAACTGGTTTAGAGTCGAAATTCAAGTATTACATGTAGAGTTTTTGCTGTAAAATTGCACTTGTCCTGTTTTTATTGGTCGCATGCAGAGGTTTGGGGAGGTGATGGGTGGCCCCGTCCACCTTAAAAACAGGTGCTGTAGGTGCTCTCACCGCTCATCTGTCCAGCTTCTAAACGTCTTGTCGCTATTAGGCCACAAGCTTCAGCATGTCTAAGCCAGGGGGTTACAGCAGCCAGTCCTGCTCCCCCGGCAGCGCAGCACCGGCCAAAGGCCAAGCCAGCATCGAGGCGTCGGCCAAAGCCAGGGAGAAGGACGACATGGTTGGACTGAATGACAAGTTCGTCAAGTTGATTGACAAGGTTTGTAAATGAAACTATTTTTAACGAGCAATTAGTTAAACGTAAGTGTTATTTAGAAAGTAATAAAACCTTACAAATGGAGTAAAATCAACAATGACAATCTGATAAAACGTGGCGCGTCCATAATAAAACCGCATTTTTTAAAGAGAGAAGTTTTGGTAAGTTTTTGAAAAAAATCGAAGTGATTGTAATTGATTATTATAAATTGATTTTCTAAATGTGCTTAACAATGCAGCAACAGGCTAAGTAAGACTATAAGGAAATAAATCTAGTTCAATGTTTTAGTCGTTTACTTTGTCATTCACTCGTTTGAGGAAGGTACAATTCTATAAAACCACGTCAATAGCCAGTTCAAGTTCAGTTTAAGTTAGACTTTGAGGGAGACACACTGGCTGTAAAACGTCTTTCGAGTTCTGCTGTAAGTGGTTGTATGACCTGAGGCCATGCATTTAGGTTTCTCCTGGCGTTGGAGGCACATGGACGCCACCTGGTGGAAAATGAGAAAGCTTTAGTCCTGAGGTCTGAGAAGGCCCATGATCACAACCTCCATGATCACAACCTGAAATACTCACGGTTTATTGTTAACAGACTAAATACTTCACATTGTTGTTATTGTTGCTTTTCAAGTAGATTCTGTGAAAACAATAAAACATACATTTGGTTAACAGACTAAATACTTCACATTGTTATATATATATTTTTTGCATCTAGCAACCAGATATATTTAGATATTACTTTCCTCAGATGTATATACAGTTTCACATAACTTTCAAACAGGGCTACAACAAACCCTCTTAAATTTTGGCATACCCTGTTAGCACTTACCACATGTTCGGTATCCCCTCCTCTTTGTCTCTTTATATCTCAGGTGAAAAACCTGGAGGATGAGAACAAAAAGCTTGACATGAAGTTGAAGATCCTCAAAGGGCAGGAGGTCTACGAGGGGAAGGTCGACGACATTGTGAAGCAGGTGAAGATGGAGCTCGAGCAGCAAATCTTGAACTTGCTCAGCAACCAAGAAAAGTTGCAGGCTGAGCTGCTCAAGATCCGGGAGGAGGTGGAGAACACCAGGCAGAGGTCAGACCCTCACAGGGAGGGACTGTGTCCTCTTAAGAGAGGAATGTTCCTGTTTTCATCAGTAAACATCCAGAAGACTCACAGCTATGTCTGTTATGTCATTATTGGCAGAAATTCATTTTGATTTTCACTTGGTCTCAGGTACGAGGATGAGCTGCAAAAGAAAGCTGATCTGGAGAATGAGTTTATTGTCACCAAAAAGGTACAGAGAGCTACTTATGCTGCATATTCACTTGGCCATTTAGAAATGCGGTTATGCGTGTGTTTGTGTGTGGCACAGGATGCAGATGATGGTCACTTGGAGGCATTAGAGCTGGTTCTGGAACTGGAGGATCTACTGGGAAAGCTGGCCCTCCTCAGAGCTGGCTACGATGAGGTAATGATGAAGTGTCTTGGGGAACTCTCCTGTGTTTTCTTCTTTCTTTCAGCTCTGTAAACTCACAATACTGTGCAGGCATGAAACAGACAAGAGAGTTTTCCCACTAACTTCTCGTGCTTGCTCTGTGCAGGAGATCAGGCAGCTGGAGTCGTACATCCAGAATGAGACGGTGATCTTACATGACAACACCAAACGGTCCCTGGATGTGGGTGACATCATTGATAGCGCCAAGAATCAGTTTGTAAACATGGCCGCTCTCACCAAGGTGGAGGCCGAGCGGTGGCATCAGAGAAAGGTGCAGGGAAAGAAGATACTTTGTCTATAGATATCAGCTAAACTCGGTTTCAACAGTCACTGTAACACTACATTTAAATTAAGCTACAACATTTTAGATCATTCCTCACCTCCAAGATGCAAATGTGAATGCAATGTACAAGATGTGAGGCCAGATTCTGTGGGAAAAAAGTAATTCTCAACTTGGTCCACATTGTGCTCTATTTTCCTGTGTTTCTCCCTCGTTAGATGGAAGACATGGTTGTAAAAGCACAAGAGCGTGAGCTTTTTCTCTCTCATTAGATGGAAGAAATGGTTGTAAAAGCACAAGAGCGTGAGCAAGATGTGCGAGATTTAAAGAGGGATATCTCACATATGGTGTGCCACATCCAGAGGCTCAAAGGGGACCTGGAAGCTCTCACAAGGAAGGTTGGGATCACACACTTGCAGAGTCCAGGGTTCAGCGCACACCATAACCATCCAACGAGCCACTGATCTTCTCTTCTCTCTGCAGGAAGAGTCCCTGAAAAAGGAAATCGGTGCCATTCGAGCAGAAGGCGATAACAACCTGGAGAAGGCACGGGAGGACATCGCCCAGCTGCAGGAAGCCTTGAGGCAGGCAAAGCAGGACTTGGCTGGACAGATCCGTGAACACCAAGAGCTGATGAACCTCAAGCTGGCCCTGGACATCGAGATCGCAACCTACCACAAACTGCTGGAGGGCGAGGAGCAGAGGTTTGTGAGCAGTGGGGGTTTAAGAGCAAATTTGGGGTTGAGAACACATCAGTTTACAGTGTATGCATCCATGTTGCTCTTTGGTAATGTATGCCATCATGGATTAACGCTGACACTAACTCCTGTCTCTGTCCTGTCTTATGCGTCGTGCAGGTGAGAACCATGTCGTTACTTGTTCTGTTCTGTACTTGTTCTAATGGAATCTCCTTTTTCGTTTGTTGTTCTTTCCCACTGATTCTAGAGAAATATAACATTCACGAAATCGTGCTAAAATATTTTCAAAGCAGCTACACCTTGATAAGGGGGGAAAGGGGGGAAAGAATAATTTAAAACAGTGGTTTCAGCCTTTTGGGTTTGTGGCTCTTCAACAGATTTCTTCCAAGTAATACACCAACAAAGCCTCAATAAACCAGAATGCAATGTAGACATGTTGCAAGGTGAATGTACACAGACTAGTTTGCCAAATTTTGATTCAAACCAACGTGGTCAAATCCTCATGTCAGGATACTGATGAAAAGAATTCTGGGAAGTGTAGGAAATAAGTAACTGCGGCAGAAGTACTCAAGAAAAGTGTAGAGGAGGAGAGGAGGGGCAAAAAATGTCAAGAAAATTGTATAAAAGTATCCAGTTTCAAAAGATTAATAAGAAATGGGCATGGTAACAAACCTGCATCAATTTCATACATGTTAAATGACTTTATTCTAATGGATGAATCATGTTTTGTGTCTGACTGAACTCAATCCTCTCTTTCGCTCAGATTTCTAAAAGCAAACCAATCCCCCCAGTGGACCCCTCCTCCAAGAAGCACCTGCTGATCCAGGTGGAAGCGGAAGTAGGCAGAGTCATGTCCAAAAGCTTCCATTATCACTCCTCAGTCTGCAGCATTACAGCCACAAAATGCGAATTAAAAACCTTAAATCAAATAAGCTCTGTGTGCTATGTGCTTTCTGGCAGAGAGAACAAACAACAGGTTGGGAATTCCTCCTTAAATCTGTACTTGAATTAGAGATAGTTTGTCAAGCAGCAGCTTTAAAAAGATTCTCTTATCTTTGTTTGCATTTGCAAAAACCTTCTTGTACCCTCGGTATATTTCTTCAGCTTTCTTGCAGTTGTTCCTCTCATACCTTTGTACAAGAGAAGATCACCTACAGTACATAACAGTGACATGGTTTCTTAATGAAGTGAACAATATGATAAGGAACTTGTGGGATCAAGCAGATGGTTAAAGGAGTGGCTTTTGTCCTTTTGGTCTGTCTTGTTAATATCAGGAGGTAAATATGCCAAAATGATTTCCAGAGTCACATGATAAAGGGGAGCAAACATGGATCTTGGACAGAAACTAAATGGCTTTCATCCTCTGAATGAAAAAACACCCATACATAAAGGGAATCTCTTTCCTGTCTCAGTGGTGTTACAGTATACATTATGTCCTGCATCTTTGTAAAATGTGACAAAGGGAAATGTTAGTTCAAATTTAAAATGCCAAACTTTGGAATTGTCCTTTTTCTCACACATGTATCTGCACCTTTATACAGTATCTCCATTGTGTCAGAATGATCACATAGAAATCAGAGGACAACAGTTTACTCTCAGGGTGACAAATGTTAGCAATGAAATATAATAAATAGATAAAGGCACATGACCAATATGCTGGTATTCTGGTGGTTTTCAACTTGCTACAGACAGCAGTCAGTCAGTAGCAGAGGAGCTGGAGCCTGATACTTTCATCATTTTTCTGTCGTCCCTGTCCTCCCTCAGTTCTCCTCCTTCTTCCGTACACAATATTCAGATGAGGAAATAACAGGCACCTAGCAAGGCGACACAATAGACAGACATTGTGCCCAACGTTCCCTGACCTCATGATGATATCCAATTTCTCTTGATGTCTCCTAAATGTTGAGACCTTGTTTGATATGATATGTCTCCTAAATGTTGAGACCTTGTTTGCTATTTAATTTGATTAACATCTCCTCTTCCTTCTCAGGTTGCCTTCGCTGGCCGTCTCTTCTCTACCCACATACTCTCTGAACATGTTTATTTAGGTCTCACATAAAAATCTAATTTCTCTTTACTGCAAATGAAACTATCAGATTTTCAAAAATCATTTTGAAGGAGTACATTTCTCTGAAGCTGCCTAATCTCCCCCATGTCCTGTAGATATATTATGGACTGTGGATGCATCCCTCACTCCTCTTCAGCTCACATACCAGTATAAAGATAAACACTGGTGAGAGAAGTGGAAGAAAACACCACAGGCAGGCAGGGTGACAGAGCAGGCAGCGCACAGTGGAGTGAAAATATACTGCACGCCTGTTTATAGGATGTACAGCACTGGTACAAGGATGGTTTTATTTCCCTTCCTTGTTATATTAACAAAGTGAGAAAATACCTTTAGTTTTCTAAACATTTATGGCAAATTCAAAGATATTATTATGCCTGCTAAACATCAGTGGATATTTTATTCCCCACGTCCACCTGCTGTCCTGAAAACAGCACCTACTTACATGTAGGTAGCCTTGGACACTGATAAATTGAATGTGCTTTTCTGTTGTAAAGCAGTATTTCCTCCTGGCGGGTTTGGTCACTATAGTGTGTGCATCCATCAACATCATTTCTTCCAGATTCATCTTCATAAATATTTAGTTTTATCTCAGCAAGCTGCGTCCTCTGATCCCTTTGACTTTCGGCTCCATCTGTCTCTCTATTTCTGGATAAGTTTGCATGCAAGTTCTGTATACTGCCTGTTTGCTAGGCCGAGCACCAGTGGCACCACAGCCATGCTTCCAATACCAGTGCAGGACAGCACAATGAGGGTGGTGGAGCTCCACTTGGTGTCACTGATCAAGAATGCTACGGAGACATGCATGTAAATGAGGTAGGGGACCCAGCAGGCTAGAAAAGTCAGAGACACAGCTACCACACAGCGAGTGTACCGCAGGTTCAGCCTCTGCTCTCGGTCAGAGGCCTGACTTCCCCGCTCCACCGAACGATGGAGACGACAAATGTCCTTCAGCTGGCCTCTGGTGATACACAAAACATGGCCAGTCATGCCAGCGATGGTAAGAATAGCAGGCAAGACGAGTCCATACACCTCCAGGTAGATGAAAGCATTGGGGAATACTCGTCTGTATGAGCAGCAGGTGGTTCCATTAGTTGAACAGTTTGAAAGTGGTGTTAACCTTTGGCTACATGAACAACAGCAGCTGTTCCAGTCTGGCCCAGTCCAATTATTCCACCCAAAAGCAGGTAGACATGCATACAGAAGCGGTGGCACCCACACCACAAGCAGGGTCAGAGGGAAGCGGCGATGCATCCATAGGTTATTGTAATGCAGGGGGTCAACAATGCAAATGTAGCGTTCATAGTGGACCATCACCAGGTTAAACAGGAAAGCCAAAAACAGGAAGTTTGGGAAAACATGAGCCACCAAGCAGGAGCTAAAACTTAGCTGCCGGTTCAAGCCCATTAATGGAATGAAAGGCAGGGCCACACCTGTGCACAAATCAGCCACCAGCATGCTGAGGAAGAAGTAGTTGGGCGTGTTGTGAAGCTGGCGGTTCCAGGCGATGCCAAGAATGATGATGAGGTTAGTCAGGATGATGGAGGTTGACAGTGGTACAGTGATAACATAGATGAGCTGCTCCCCAGAAAGAAGAGCATCCATTATGGGTGACGTTTGCAGACGCCCTCCCACTCGCAGCCCGGCTCCTCTCTGATCACAGCACAGCGACCCTGCAGAGAAGGTTACTGAAGATGTTACTAAAGAGGTGTTTGTGGGTACTGATGGTGTGTTTGTGTAGGGGCCAGGCTTCGGATTATAAACACCACTTGTATCATATCAAGGCAACTGACAGCTGTTACCATAACTGAGCAAGCTTCTGGTTAGATGCCACTACTCAACAAGCATAAACAAAGGAAATTTAATTTATAAGAAAATAACAGGGAGAGGAGCAGAGCAGATTATCAGATATAGACTGTGGAATCAAATCAAACCAGGAAGAGAGGAGAACGATGACAGATTGCACTGCATGACCTCCACTACTAGAAATAACACAAAATATTCATTAAACTGCTACAGTCATTCCATACCAAAATAATTTGCCAGAGGGAATTTTACATTGTCTTGAAAAAAGAAAAAAAACAAAACAAAACTAGCCATCTCTTGACCACTGCAGCCATGTAGTCCTTTGCTAGCTAACAGCTGAGCTAAGGCCACATGTGAATGGACATGAGGTGACTCATTCAGCAATTCAGCAGCTGGATCTCTGGAGTTACATCTCCCTTTGTATCCATTCCATTTAATAAGTGATACACATCCTAAGGATAATTCTACAATCTAGTCAGATGAACCATTATGCATTAGTTTTATGTTTGCATGCTGTATGATTAGGTTTGTTTCCCTGTTTACATCAGTATTCTGCGCTTTGTAATACCTGTATATTAATAACAGATGATCACATCATGACAGTATTTCCAGGGTCCACATGTGTAGATTTTTTCTGGTATCAAAGTCCTTTTACAGTTTTAGCAAACACTGGCCTTAATGGGTCTTTAAAAGGTGAACACACAGAAACAGCTTAACTGATGCTTTCTGCACAGTTAAGTTGGATTTATCTGTAACCTTATTTCTTCCTGGAAATGTATTTAAAAGCCATTTTAAAGCTTTCTTGGAAAGTAAGCAGCTAGTTTTCCATGAAATAAAGAGATGTTTTAAAATACACACTAATCCTGCCAACTACATAAGCTGGTGCTATAAAGATTCAATGATATTTTAAACATATCGCTAGAGATGCAGGTTGATATTTTGCAAAATAAAAAGCAACAAAACTAATGAGACTAACCTTTTGGAGATGAAACGTCCAGTTATGGTGACCAAGGAAATTCAGATCAAGCAGATTCTTATCGCTCTCCTGTTCATAAGCCTGTTCACATCCACAGGCAGAAGCATGAAGAAGCTGCAGTCTCCATCATAAAGTCCAGGAGCTTTTTTCCTTGAAGATCCCTCCGGTCTCAGCCCCAGCAGCCTTCTCACAGCCTCACTACACGAGATGCAAAGCTAGCAGCCAAGACTGTTCCTCGATGGATTGAAGAGGAGGTGCGCTCTGGGGTAGGAGGAGGAGCTGCACTCTGTGTGTGTTCCTGGTCATGCAGTGCCCACTAAACCTTGACCTGCTTTTTTTGCGCTCTTTCTCTTTGTACTCTGTTGTTCGTCAGCCTCTTAGTGATGCGTTTCACCACTGTGTATGTCTATGAATGGAAACAAATGGAAAACTGTCATCACTGCAGCCTAAGATACAAACATTCCACCTGAACATCAGTAGGCGGCTGGTTTGTCTTCACACCTCGATGATGCCCTGATACTTCAAGAAATCTACAGTATGTAACCTGTCATAATTAGAAAGCTGAGTTAGTGACTCGAGGGATACAGAGCCTGAAATAGATTTTTCTTCATTGTTGCACATTTACCAGCCATACAGAAGCATCTAACTTGAAGAACATACAGTATGAATGTCTTTCAATCCTTGATTTATAAATTAATGAATGCTGAGATAAAACATATACAGAACCACAGTACTCTAAAGCTAACAGTTTCATACTGAACATAAGCCACGTTACTGGGTTTTTAGTAAATCTGGAGTTTAAAAGTAGTTCTAGCTGTACTCTGACATGCTGTGTAAAGCATCCAGATCATACCGTGCTCTGAGCTGGTGATGCACTCATTCCTTTAACTTGGCCCAGGAATGACCCAGACATACAGTGTAATGCGAAAGTCGGAATTCATGACAACTGTTACACTCATCTCATATTTACACAATGCTGGATGGAAGGCCTGTTTAGTTGGCCAGGCACAGAAGGCTGCTCGGCTGATAGTTGGGAGCAGGCCTGGTGCTGCTAGAGATGGACGAGCTCCAGTCAGATAATTGTTTTAAACAGAAACATTCCTGAGCATCTGGAGAGACACAGGGAGAATAAGCTGGACGTGAAACCACATCATCTTCACATTACAGAGGGGGAGATGGGAATCCTGCATGGCTTCCCTGGAAGAACAAGTCCTACCCAACAATGTGTCAGTGATCTCATATGGATCTTTTCATACACAGTGGACAAATGAAACATGACAATCGGCAAATAATTCATCAGTTACTTAATGCATTCGGTCATTTACAGACCTAGGATTTAAAACAGGACTGTTGGTTAGTTTTGCCTAGTGTACTTAATAAACTGACAAGAGGGATGATTCTGTTGTCAGTGTCTACTCCAGCTCCTTTCAGCCAGACCTTTAACTAATACTTTACCTCCACCTCGTCTTTTTTTAGCATCTCTGTTTTTACTGAAACAAGCTTCTGTCGTGGATTTGATCTACAAATTAGGATTATGAATATACCTCGTAATAATAGGTTCAAATTGGGGCACCTCATCTCATGAGCTGCATGGTGAACAAACTATGAATAAAATCTCAGTCTAAAGGAGAAAGTTCTTAGACAGGGGGGTTTAATAAAAGAAAACATTAGAATGCCAGTTCTGTAATCTAAATGAGTTTGTGTACATATTATTGAGACTGAGAGAGTAAAACCTGATGCTGAAGGAGTAATAAAATTAAATATCTCTATGTGTTGCTAGTATTTGTTGAACTTAATTCTACTTGCATGTTGACATGTATAGAGGAACTAGAAGTTTCAAGTCTTACATTCTGTACTAAAGTATATGTTTGAGAGAAAGAAGAGGAAGTCAACAGTTTGTGTATTTTTTTGTGTTTGATGTTACTGTGCATCTTTGTAACTTTTGTTCTCATTTAAAACCTTGGGTTTGGGTCTAAAGCACAGAGCACTTGAAAGGTTCCACTGTTTATAAGGATTCTCAGAATAAAGTCGTAAACAGTTTTTCTCTGGAGTCCCTCAGGTTCATGTAGCTAAAATAAGAATTTATATGATGTTGATGAGGCTGAATCGACTTGATATTCAACAGAGCTTATATGTCAGTGTTGTGGAGGTACAGTGCACTGATCCACCCGTCAGCACATCACTGACATCTTGTGGCCTTTACAGGAGTGACAGTCAAATATCTGTTTGGCCTTTGTCCTTTTGACAGTGTGTCTGCCACATACTCTACAGAGTGAGTCTGGACTTTATTTACAAATGAGCCCCAGTAGATCACTTACTAATACAACTAGATCAAACAATAGTGTGATATAGATGTTTTCTGGAGGAGATCTTTGAACTTGAGCAGGAAAAGTTTTAAGTTTTGGTAGTTGCGTTGCATTGTGGGTAATGTTGGTGCCAGGTTTCGAATGGGACAAAGAGTGTTAGATGTTTTTATCCCTTTGTGTCCATAATGAGTTCAGTGTTATTGGAGTACAACACTAAGTCAGTGGAGTGCCCTGACTGACTGACACGGGGGAAGCATTTGAACTGACTTCAGTTTTAATCTGTCAGGTTGTTGAAAGGAGGTGGAAACCCAGGGACTGTGTAGTATTTGTCATTTGTTTGGTAGGTCTCAAAGCAGTGACATGATAAACAGCTGGTTAAAGCTGTGGTGTGAATTATATGTGCGGTCAATGCTAGGCTTGGAGTCGCTGTGTGCATGTGATGCAGTTCCTTTCTATCCTAACAGGTCTTTAGAACAACGTGTGGCTGCTTGGTCAGACCTTGGAAAGTCAGGTGCTGCAGTTCGTGTAGTTGTGTTGATCAGATTGTTGTAAAAGAACTGACTAATGTTGAATAAGTCTAACAGAAAAGTCTGACGTAACATGAGCAGGGTATTTTTCACATTCAGAGAAGCAGCAGCTTCCTATTAGGTATTTTTAGTCAGATAGAAATTGGATAGATACTTTATGTATTAGAAATGTTTAGTGGAGATAGGATGTCTAGTTAGACTGTTAAATGCTTAGGCATGCTTATGAGTTTCTACAGGGTACATCTGGTCAAGGATACTAGAGAGAAGAGCTGATGACTGTCAGCAGACAGGGTGTTTAATATTATTATTATGACATGTATAACTGTAGCCTTAGCCATAATATGTTCTTATGTTTAAGTCACGACATGTACTAGAAGTCTGTGAGAATGTTTTTAGTTACACACCACTTAATCAACAGATACACACACACGCACATTGATTTGCTTCATGTTTTGACTACTGCTATGGCCAGCTGCAAAGCTGGCAACAGAGACGTCTCGGTTGACGTTTCTGGGTAGTATGGGGCTAGCCCAACCGAAGGGATATCATGTATAGGCCTGGTGGGTTCAGGGTCTTTCATCTTACATCTGCCTGCGAGCAGTTTGGAGGTGCAAGATACCTGAGCGTGTAATGTTAATTTTACCTGTGATCCTTTGAATAAATCAGCACTGTTTTGAAGTTACTTGGACTGTCTCGTCTCTCAGAGTCAGCAATGGTAACAAGAACAAAAGACCCACATGGCAGAGGAAGATTATGTGCTACTTAGGCCAGTGTGGATGTGAACCCCCAAGAGGAGAGGTCTAAATAAAAAAGATAGGGGGCCTCACTGAGTCCAGAACAAATGAATTGTCTGACTGTGAATGAAAAGGACTTCAATTCCTGCATTGATTCACCAAGTGTGGATGGAAACTCCCTTGAACTAAAGCACAAAGTCAGAATCTTCACCTCATAGCTGCTGATGAATTTTAAATCCAGTGATCTGGAGTATAAAGCCAGTTAAGTGTGTTTTGGGCTTTGATAAAGCCCAAAGAGGTCAAATAATTCAAAGGTAAATCATTCAAAAAACATCTGTGTATCAGAATCATCTGAGGTTTATCTTGTGGAGGGGTCCGACCCCTAGATTGGGGTCAGCTGGACTAATCTGCCCAACTGTAAATAAAAGAGTTCAAACTGTGTGGACTTCAGCCAGCTACAACGGTAAAATGCTACTGACACGTTAAAGTGTCAGCACTAACAATCTAACTATGTCATACATAATAATAATAATACATGACTCATATAGATCATTTTGTGCTGAAGTACTACTTTGATACTTAAAGTACATTTTGCTTTTAATTAATACCTACGTACTTTTCCTTCCGGAGTAGTTTGAATGCAAAACTTTTGCTTGTACTGGAGTAGCTTCTAGTTGTTGTACTGACACTTTTACCTGCTCTAATTAAAGGATCTTATTACTCCCTCCACCTCTTCTAAACTGACATATGCTTTTAGATCCATGCTCATTTATTGCTTGTTCTGGGGACCTTTTGCCTTTAGTCTGGTTTCCCAGTTTGCCCTGTTCACCCATTATGGATATAAACCTTCAAACTAAAGGCGAATGTCACCATTTAAACATGTTTCATGTCACATATGATCTGATGGAGTCCTGAGGTAAACCTGGTAGAAACTGACCCCTTCCCTTTGGACTGCAGTACACTGACCTGTTCTTGTTTCAGTGAACTAGCCTTTATATAAATGATACACCTACATATCTTGCACATAAAGCTGCCAGTGGAAGATTTCAGTTCAGATAGGAGACATAAAAGTATACCTTCACTCAAACTGGGGAAGGCAAGCTGCACTATTTTGCCCGGCTGCACCTTCCTTTCTTCTCTTTTCTCGCCCTAGTCAGCTCCCTCACACTGATTATTTGATTAGACACACCTGCCCTGATTTTCTGACACTCATCAGCTGCACCTCTTTTGTCTCACTCCTCATTTATACTCTGCTCACCCATCACTCCCCTGCTAGTTCTTTCTACGTCATCAGACCTCCCTAGGATTATCGCTCTTTCTTGCTTATTCCGTTATTCTACGTATGTTTGTGTGTTCACTGCTTCCTTCTACGTTTGGACCTCTCCTAGCAGAAGAGGGAAACAAGTTACATCACAACTCAGCAGTAAATATAACAAAGACAGTCACATGACTGCAGGTCTAAAGAGTCTATTGTTCCACATGTCGCCTGACAGGGATCAAACACTGTTGTAAAAAAAACAAAAAACAAAAACAAAAGTACCATGTACCCTTGTATGAGCTGACTTCAGCTTATTTACCAGGGAACCATGAAGATCCAGTTTACCTGCATGCTGATGATGCTGCTCTCTGCGCTGTGGTCTGTCGGAACGTCGTAAACAACATGACTCCAAATCAGTGTAATGAACGCATGGCGCCCTTGCGTAAAGGCACACCAACCTGCTTGTCTGAGGATGCCTTTATTTTGGCCCCTGCCGATGCTGTCAATGCTATCTGTCAACCAAATAAAAATGGCTTTACCCCGGCCCGCCTTAAAAAAATTAAAACAATACCTGCTGCCTTGGGGAAACTAACAGAACTTAGAGTCAAGTAAAGGCCTACAGACTACCTACTAACCACACTGGTTGACAGAGCTTTTAATTATTTATTAATGGCATAATAAAATTTTGTATGGCCCCATATGATCTGGCTGAAAAACACGAGGCAAACAAAACATGAATAAAGGGTGTTGAGTTATTAAGAATGTTTAGATCTGTGATTTACCAATGGTGAACAAAGTGCTATGAAACAAGAGTGCACAAAGCAGTTGGCTTCCTCCTAGCAGGTGGCGGACCACACAGCGTACACCTATTCTTGGTATTCTTGGTGCCAGTGTGGAGCTGGATTTGCACCACCACACCCTCTACTTACTGAGTTGACATTTATACAGATTTATACAGAAGATAAGCTAGCTAATTACACTGTCCACATTGTCCAGTTACTACCCACACAGCCCCATTAAGTCTATGTAGTTTAATAGTTCTGTTCTTTTCTCCAACAGGAAATCATGAAGATCTTGGTGGCCTGTTTGGTGCTGGTGCTGCTGTCTGCCAGTGTGCACTCTCAGTCTGAAAATGTCAAAGCCCGTTATGATAAGTTCAAAAACCAACATATCGATAAGGATATGAGCCCTGAGAAATGTGATAAGGTGATAAGTGAAAAGGGCATCAAGGACGCAAAAACCAACTGTAAAAACATCAACACTTTCATCCTTGCCACCATCGATGAAGTCAAACCCATCTGTGGCAGTGCAGGTGAACCATATAAGGATAAGGGCCTGACCTTAAGCACCAAACCATTTAAAATTGTTGTCTGTAAACTGCAACCACAGGGAGACTGCAAGTACAATGGTCAGTCTCTCACAAAGAGAATTGTAATCGCTTGTGAAAAAGACTTTCCTGTGCACTATGATCATGACATTGATTAGTTGGACGGTTGATTAAACCACTGCATATATACAGTAGTACATCACTGTAAAAATTATATCTAGAATGTGATGTTAATTTTGGATCCATCTTGTTTTAATGTCCTTTTCAGCATCTTTTACCTGATTTGTCTTCTAGATACTAAAGTCAAACAAAGAAACTATAGTGGCCTGGGTGAGAAAATGTTTTTTTTCCATCCCCATTTTCACATGTTCTCCATCAGTGACCATGTCTTTTAGGCTTTATTTTGCTAAACATCCTTGCTTAGAGTTGTCTGTACTCATCCTCACTCACTTCTAAGTAAACAAACAGTAGCTTGCAAATAAACTTTTCACTGAACAGTTCCTCATTTTCTTTTTTATAGTTTCCTCACTTACAGTAGATGTTGCGGTCAAAGGAAGAGAAGAGTCAGGAAGAGTTTCATATGTACTTTAACCAAGCCTTTGTGCCAAAAATAAACGCTGCTTATAAACATGATTCCAATTAGGGTTCCAGAGCTCCAGTATGAACATCAAAATGTGGTTCAGGCTATACAAAGTGCATCAGGAACCATTTCAAATTATTAATATGCACATTGTTTTAAAGGTTAAAATTCACATTTTTTTTATTTAAAACTAAATTCAGCTGGTTCCGCAGCAGTTCAAACAGGTAGCAGCCACCTCTCCGGGTGCCGTCACCAAGTCCGAGGGCGGACAAGCGCCTTGGAGACATTAAGTGCAACCTAAAATCAGGGAAATATGTGACTTTAGCATTGCTGCCAAAAAGACAGTTCACAGCTGTATCATCCAACAGGCCTACCACGCACTTCATTTTCTAGTTATTAATGTGGCTAGATTTCTTCTCAAAACTTAGTTTTGGAGAGCACAAAGTCTCATGGATGGTGAATATCAGTCTTTCAAAGTTGAGCTGAGCACCTAAACAAGCAGTGGCAAAACTACTCAACTAATCTCAGTGTAGTAAAGTCCTGCATTCAAATGTTCACTTTGGTACAGAAGTACACAGAACAGCACATTTCACATGATTGTATATCATTAGATTTAAGTGATTAACTCAGTGCATTAGTTAATGTTGCTGTAACAGTCGAACTAGTTTTATTTGAAGTACTTCAGATACTTTGAGTAGCTTGTCAATGAAGTCTTATTATACTGCATCGTTTGTTCATCTGTTTCTGAACAGGTGCAGCCTAATATATTTGCCACTGAAATGTAGTGAAGTCCAACTATGAAGCAGCAGAAGAGGGAAACAAGTTACATCACAACTCGGCAGTAAATATAACAAAGACAGTCACATGACTGCAGGTCTAAAGAGTCTATTGTTCCACATGTCGCCTGACAGGGATCAAACACAGTTGTAAAAAAAACAAAAGTACCATGTACCCTTGTATGAGCTGTGCCAAGTTCCAAGTGTTAGGTATTTTTAGTCAGATAGACATTGGTTAGACTCTTCATGTATTAGAAATGTTTAGAGTAGACAGGATGTCTAGCTCAGGCTGTTAAATGCTTAGTCATTCTTATGGGGTACTCCAGGTTGTTCAGGTTCAAGGAAGCTGATTACTGTTAGGAGACAGAAGGGTTAATATTATTGTTATGACGTGTTTAACCATTTTCTTATGCTTAGTGTCATAACATGTCACTAGATGTCATGTCAGAATGTTTTAGCTACACACCCCATAATCAACAGACAGTCACACATTGATTTTCTTCATGCTTTGACTACTGCTATGGTCAGCTGCACAGCTGGCACCGGGAGACGTCATGGTTTGGTGTCCCTGAGTAGTATGGGGTTAGCCCGAAGTGATATAATGTATAGGCCTGTTATGGTTCAGGGTCTTTCATCTTTCAGCTGCCTGCGTGCATGCAAGACACCTGAGCGTGTAATGTTAATTTTTGCCTGTATTCATGGAATAAATCAGCACTGTTTTGTAGTTACTTGGACTGTCTCGTCTCTCAGAGTGAACGTGGTGAAAAGAACAGGGTCCAACACAAGGGACAAGACATGAGTCTGTTGTGGGGGAGGGGTGTATGTGTGTAAATTTGTGGGTTAAAGATATTTTTAATGACACTTGTCAGAAAACTCTTTTTGCCGTTACAAAGAGCATTTATTCCATCTCTAATAATATTTCTGTATTTTTTCCATCTTTATTTGCTGCTGAAGTAAAAAAAAAAAAAAAAAGTGGCTTACAGGATTTCTGACTATTCAAGTTTATAATGTCCTTATCTCTTTATAATGTCTTTATCTCAAAGACAGTGAAATGTTTTGCTTCACAGGCTTGTTAGTCACTAAGTTGGGTGTTGGATGTTAAAGACTGGAGCCAAGAATACCTGAAGGTTTTCTTTAGTTTTCCTTAAACAGGACAGACCATCTACATATAGCAAATCCTATTATCAGACAACCCTTGCAGAGCAAGATAGGATTGTAGACCATCTTTCGTGTCCAAAAACAGGAGCGAGTCAAACCAGTGCACTGGGTGCAAAGTGTACCCCCCAGGATATTCACAAAAAAAGTAAAATAAAATGTAGTTAAAAAGTTGTTTTATTTTGAATCACTTGCTGTGAGGGACATGCTCTTCTTATATTTTTGTGTCCAAAATATAAAAATGAATACTGAATATATAGGTACTGCTTGTAATGTTTAATTGATTTTCAATGAAAATATTTCTAGTATTCATTGTATATGATAGTACAGTATAGATATTAATAAAATATAGATGTGGAAAGTATTCCTACCTTCATTATTTGCATTTCATCTGTCTGTTTCAGCTTCTGTGGAGTTTATTGCCATAAAATATATGTAGTCATCAACTCTGCTGCTGTGTTAGTTCAGCCTGAGGATTTAAAAACAAAAAGACACATTTTTGCCTTAAGTTTAAATGGACAGTGTGACATATTGAGAAATCTGTTTGTAATATGCCATGAGGAACTTTACTCTGTGAGATGAAGAACATCTTTAAAACTGAGTCGCTAGGTGGCGTTAATGGTAAGAAAGGCATTTGTTTGACTCTTTTCTCTGTATTCCCTATTTATACTTCATGGCTGGTTCAACACAGCAAGTGATACTAAATGTCAACTGAGTGGTTGCAAGTATAGTGTTGTTAAAATGTTGTTTAGTTGCTCATCCCAGAGGAATGTGCCAAAATCTTAATGCCAGCAACACAAAGTCTATGAGGATTGTGTCTTTGTCAAACATAAGACCCATTCAATCATTTGAATAGAACCACAGAAATGAAAATGTCCTCCATGATACTGATACATATGACGTAATGACACTCCCGCTGAAGACCCAACACAGGCCCAACCCCAACCTGCTGTGGCAAATGCCTGCTTTTCTCCCCAGCCTTATATAGGCCATCAGTATTAGAATGCTTAAAGCAAGGTGGCTGCCCAATGACTTCCCATGTTTGCATAAAAAATTATTGTCAACAAATCAAATGGAAAGACCAAAACCAACAATGTCCACCTCCTGGTCACTCAGCCTCAAGCCTGTTAAATGTAAGGTCTTAAAAAATGGGACACACATATAGCTTTTTTGTTTCCAAAGAGACTGATAAATATACAGTAACACCTGAGCATTGTAGCTTTTAGCAAACACTTCCCAAACAACAGTAGCTGCTGCATTTCTTGGGACTATTTTACCCTGACGAGAAAGAAAGCTACCAAACTATCCACCCTACCAAAGTGTAAGGTGAAAAATCTGAATTTAGAGTAATGTCAAAATGTTCAAAATGGGCAGACACATTGAGGACACTCATATTTGACAATACTTGATCAAATCAACTTGACTGATCTTACCAACAGCACAGCTAGACAAATAAAATTTGTATAAGTACATATGAAGAATGTTCAGTTTGTAGGTTTCACCTCTTTACTCCATGTCTTGTGTTTATGCAGTTTGTTTTCACCGCTTATGTTTAAGACCACTTCACACTTTATAATTTAAGGGGTCACACAGCAAATTGTACACACAAAATAAGAGAAATGTTAGGACCTTCTTCCTGTTTGCCAATTTCCTATTGGAAAAGTTGCACTAAGTTGTGTTTTGTGGCTCTTTCTTTCATTCAGGGCAGAAACAAGCATGTTGATCATGTTACCATGTACCTGTTATTTTTCTTACACTCTCATGTCTCCTCTGCCACATTTACCTGTAATGCTGTATCTGTGCCACACAGGGGAGTCACTGCACTGTAAAACCACACTGTGTGTGTGTGTCCATATTTCACCAGTTCATAAACATACTGTCAGACTCACTGCTGAAGGCAGATCTACTGCAGTCAGTTTAGAAGTACACTCATTACTGTATTTACATGTTTGATTTAGCAATGAAGTATTTTTATTCTGTCAACATGCTGTGCTGTACATTTTCCGTTTTAGTAATACTTTATGTTGATCTATTCTCAGACACCAGAGAACATCTATGAAGCTTTTAATGATGCTGTATAATATACCTTGTCAATATCTGATGCTGAAATAAAATGAGTTGTTTGTTGTTAGTCAGTAGAAACATGCTGAACAAAATAGTGATGCCTCTGAGCCAGCAAGAGCTTGGCAACTGCCTTTCATTTTTAGGTGGGGCTATATAATTTTTTTTTTTTTTTACTTCTGATTTATTAAATTATAACTTTTTTGACTGTTGGCCAGACAAAGCAATCAATTTGAAGATGTCTCCTTTGGCTCGTGGAAATTGTGACAGGCTTTTGTCCATTGTGAATGATAATGATTATTTGATTGATCAAAGAAATGATCTAACAGATTCATTGGTATAATAGTAAATACTGTTTACTTGAGCTAGGTTATTTTTTATTGGAACACAAATAGCACATTTACAGGACAAAGGAGTGTACCTATCGATCTGTTTGATTGATAGGTGTAAAATACTCAAAGCGGTAGCATGGACAACGAGAAATGAGGTCTAACAACAATAATGAAATAAAAAGCAGCTTGTTATATTTCTGGAGTTTGTGGTAACGTGCGTGGCCTCAGCCCCAGGTATCTGGTTTAAGTTAAAAGTGGTTAGAAACTGATTCCAAGTGTCGGTAAAAGTTGATATATTATTCTTATGGGTGGATGATATCTTCTCTAGTGTGATTGGTTCTATGAGAAGGTTGGTCCAGTGGCTGTTGTGTAATGAGTTTTTATATTTCCAATTTAGAAAGATTGTTTTCTTGATGATAGTTAGAGCAATGATAGTTAGAGCGATAGCGTTTTTATATTTATTTGGTAGGTGGTTGATTCTACAGCTCAAGATGGAGAGCTTCTCTGTCACTGCTACCCAGAGGGAGTAAGCGGGTTGACAGGTCCAAGTAGCGTGGAAGTAATCATCAGCACAACTCAGAGTGCATTGTGAACAAGTATCTGTATCACTAAAACCCATTTTAAGCATTTTACCTTGTGTGATGTGAGTCCTGTGAATAGTCTTATATTGTGTAAGCTGTAAGTTTATATATAGTCATAAAGGAGATATTATTCAAGATCTGGGTCCAGAAGTCGAGGCTGGAGGGGAGCGACAAATCCTTTTCCCATTTAGTCATTGGTATTGTTCTGTCTGTATTTGACATTAGTTTATAAAGTTTAGATATTCTTTGAGTTTGTAAGCTTCATTATTTCCTCAGCTAGCATGGAAGGTTGTAACGGGTTGTTCATTATATTGATCTTTGATTTAATTATGGATTTTAACTGTTGGTACTGGAGAAATTCTCCTCTCCCAACTCTGTACTTCTGGACTAATGTATTGAATGATATGAGCTGGTTGTTTTCAAATAGATGATGAAGGTGAGTAATTCCTTTGTGTTGCCATGTTGGAAAGTGGATGGGCTGGTTATGAAGCTGAAAATCAGGGTTGTGCCAAATTGGAGTCTATCTACATGGTGTTAATGATGATTTAGTGGTTTTGAATAATTTCCACTAGGCTGTCAGAGTTGTAGACGTGTAATATTTTTGCAATAGTTCATTTTCTTAGAGTATGGTAAGAAGACAAGGTCTGCAACTGAAGTATTTTTGCATTGATTTAGTTCTAGTTCTATCCATGAGCTATTATAACTGTCCTTCTGAATCCATTTAAATATTGTAATTGATTTGCTGATAAATAATACTCAAAATTTGGTGCTTCTAGGCCATCTTGTGATTTGTTCTTCTGAAGTGTTGACAGGGAACTTTTGGGTTTCTTGTTATTCCAGTAAAATTGTGAAGTTAGAGAATCAAGTGATTTGAACCATTTATCTGAGGGTGAAAACAGGTAGGTAATTTGTGCTAACGTTTTCATTTTGACTGTAGCAATTCGGCCAATGAGTGACAGCGGGAGACTACAGTGACACTTCAGGCAGCTTCCTGGAAGTTGTGGAAACCATGAGATACACCGTCTGTGACGCCGGCTGGATTTATTGTATTGGAAAGATCCAGCCTTATATGTTTGCACCTCGTTCAGATCCAGACTCTGAAGAGGAGTCGGTTGTTCATAAAAATCTGCGGACATCTGGTAAGTATGATTAGTGTATTGTTTTAGTACAACAGTAGCTGGTAGCTTTGAATGGGTAGATAACATAGCCATGGTAGTTTTACATTGTTATTACATGGTGTTAACTGTGTAAACAAGGTCTAAGCAAAATGCTCAGATGCATTTACAGTCTTGCTGAGAGTTTTACAGTATATCAGTGTCTCTTTATTTTCTCAGCTGATCCAAAACTAAAGTAACAGCAACCTGGGACACTTATTAGCAGTAGCTTAACCTTTGGCACTGGGTTAGGCTGCTAGGGAGTCAAATGCAATACAGCAACAACCATATTAACTAATACTAAATAGTCAACAAATAGTGGAAAGAAACTCCAAGGTCCAGTTTATATCCAAATACTGCACACTTCAGTGCATTTACAACATTTTTACTCCCACTTGTAGTTGCTGAAAAGTTGCTTCTGGCTACTCTGAGAACAGAGGGTCCAGATTTCCGGGGCCGGTCTTTATTTG